TCTATCTATCTATCTATCTATCTATCTATCTATCTATCTATCTATCTATCTATCTATCTATCTATCTATCTATCTATATCATCTATATCTATATCTATATCTATCTATCTATCTATCTATCTATCTATCTATCTATATCATCTATATTCATATCATCATATATCTATATCTTCTATCTCTATATCTATTCATATCATCATATATATCATCTATTCATATCATATATCAATATCTATTTCTATCATCTTATTCATATCATATATCAATATCTACATATTTCTCATCTTTCATGTAATCATATATCATAGCTGTCATCTTTATATTCATATCACATATCAATATATTTATCTATCTTTCTATCTATCTATCTATCTATCTATCTATCTATCTATCTATCTATCTATCTATCTATCTATCATCATCTATCTAAATAGACACGTTTCAACATTGTTCTCCCAAGGTCTGTGCAAGAAATGAAACACATGCAAGAAATCTCGAGGTTCTTCCCGAGCAGTGTGGAAGAAAATCAGGAGCTGGAGCCAAGCACCTACCAAAGTGTCTCATCTGATCCTGAAGAGCAGAGTTGGGAAATGGTGGTCAACAAGAAGCAGTTCAAACTATGGAGGCGTCCGGTTGGCGGGGGTCATGTGTACCAGTATCGAGGTATCTCCACCCCCTTCCCTTTCATATTTACTCTTGTCTTGGTACACAGATCACACATCTGTCTGGCCAAGTTGGGCTGGATGACTTGCTAACCCCTTCCAGCTCTGTGATACAAGATAATAACATACACAATCTGCTTAATTTACCACCGCCAACAGAGGCCTTCTTGAGTCAAATTTTGTTAATTCGCTCTGGATAGCAAGGTGGGCAATGTTTAAATTTAATTAATCACTAATAATTATTGACCGGAAGGTAAAGCCTCTAAAAGTCATGTTCAAGGCTTAATAAGGGCCGAGGTGATCTTAAAAATCTAGATTCAGGGATTTCTAAGTCAGTCCTAACGTTTTCCAGTGGCTCTCAGTAGTTGGCCCATTTTTTATCACGTACAAGTTTGTGTAGGGAGCCCTCAAATGAAGATCCTATTTGGGGTCACAATTTCCATCACTAAGCAAAGCAAATATTAAGCAAAAGGTGCAATTTTTATTATCTTTTGTGGCCCGCCAGCAGAGCTGGCAGCGGATTTGGACAGTGAGGAGGTTGGGGAGGAACATGGGCCAGTCCTGGAGTCTGAGGAAGGCTCTGATGAGGGCTCTGTGTTGGAGGCAGAGAGGAGGCCAGGGTTGTCTGACAGTTATCAGCTGCCTTCGGAGTCAGACATCAGTGAGGCAGAAGAACAACTGGAGCCTGTTCCCAGTGTGTGCATGCACAGAGTTGCTGAATGAAGGGAACAGCTAAAGAACAGGGATCGACTTGGAAGTAAGGCCAGAAGTGGACGATGAATGGCCCCCTCCCAGAGGAATTAAAAGAGGAGTGAAAGGGAGTTTGTGAGGGAGTTTGTGACTCCTTGCCAAGTTTTGCAGGTATCGGCCTGGCAGCTCTCCAAGCCAGATAAGGTCTGTGACTATAAATCCTCTCTTGAAAGACTGCTAAATGTGAATGAGCCTTGGTCAGAACATTATCTTAAGAATGCTCTCCAGGGCCTATGTGAGGATCAGAACTATTATAATTGAAATAAATAAGGAAATAAGGATGATACGAGCGGAGGATGTGCTGCTTTGCTGTTTTACTATTTATGCTTTGATTTAAAATGGTCTTTAAAAACTTGAGTCTGGTACATACCAAGTGAGGGGCGTCTAGATGCTTTGGAGCCTACAAGTATCTTGTTGCCCACTTACGATTTGAAGTCTTAACCAAGACCTGTGTTTGCTTTAATGTCTACTACGAGATTTGTCTTTCTATTGTAGTCTTTGGAACATACACAGATGTGACACCAAGACAGTTTTTCAATGTGCAGGTGAGTTCTCTCACACCTCTTCCTGTTTCTCATTGACAGGATAGTTCCAGCTTCAGTCTTTAATTCAGCCTACGTTCTGCTTGTCCTTATTGTAGGAGTGTGAGGGGCCTCTCAGAAGCCTAGCAAAATAGTTCAAAACAGGGCAAATAAAGCAAGATAAAATTAGTGTAAGATATTCTGCTAGTGTGTTTCTCCCGTGCTGGTTGTTAATATGGATAGTGCATATTCAAAAATTGTTAGAAATCTAAAAATCAAGCTGAATTTTTTCCTATATTCTGTGGCAAGCTCAGCTACGTTGGAAAATAGTTTACTGCAGCTTGAAATAAGTCTTAAATGCTAACTTTCCTTCACTACCATTTATTTACTACCATTTATTTACTACCATTTATTGAGCCAAGGTGGCGCAGTGGTTAAATGCAGCACTGCAGGCTACTGCTAGATCAGCAGTTCAGCGGTTCAAATCTCACCAGCTCAGGGTTGACNAAAAGTAAATCGGAGTCCGAGGCAAAGTATTGCTCAAAGTTCCAATTGATTAAGGGGGCCATGTTGGCACATCTGGGAAAACCCGAATCTGAAAGCTTCCAGGTTTCCCCCA